ATGGCAGCTGGCTCAGTCATGCCAGATCACTGCATTAACCCAGCATTGAACCCAAGCTCTGCTCCAAAAATACTTGGCTTTGCTCAGTACTAACACAGGTTTACAGCTTTCCAGAGCTAAGCCTGTAAATCCATATGGGGAGGGACACTTTGTAGAGTGACAAACTCAGGTCTCTGGCAGTTTGGGAATCCTTTTGCTATCTTTTGTCTCACACTGCAGGTGCCTAGGAACTGAAACATATTTTGCATAATGCCTAAATTGTGAAGGTAGCCCCAGAAAATTACCATCTGAGTAACAACAATACAGTGCAACCAATATTTCACTGGAGTGTTTGTAGGGAACAGAGGGTTTAAGGCAAGTCCAAAAGAGCAGCTGTTTTCATCCTGTTACTGCTCAACTGTGGGGCTGCTGAGCATTTTCTACAACATCCGAGCAGGGGCCAGGATATCCAGCAAGATTAATATAGCTTGTTTCTTGGCTTAATGATATAAATTGGAATAGATTGAACAGAGTTGGCTAAGTGCCCAACACAAGCCTCGTCGCCACTTGGGGAAGACTAACAGGCATCAGTATGAGAGGCTACAGGTTTTTGCTGCCAAAGGTTTTATTATATCTCTCCTGATTTACAGGGTCAGGCTTGGTAGGTGCCTTACTCTGCAGCTCCATCTCTTGGCAAACATCAGGTACAAAACAGACTGCACAGGCTCTGCGTACTTCAGGCAGAGATGCAAGATGAGTACTTCTCTATGCAAGATACTCTTCATTTCCTTAGCAATAACGGAGGGACATAACTCTCACCTAAAATAGAAGAGGGAATTCTCTCGTGTACTTCCTTCAGTGTTTGTTATGTTGCCCTGGAAACAGTCCCCAAGTCAGAAAATGGTAAATGAGAAAGAAGAAATAGGCATTTGTGGCAAGGATTTTCAGACTCTTTATAAAAATATATAATTACATTTTTTGAACTGATACTATTTTACAGTAATGAGAAAAGATTTGCCAATTCCTGAGAAAGCATTTTTATTTAAAAATAAAGTTGGTAATCTTCTTTTTCTGACCCCCCAATATGTCTCTCTGATGGCTGATGTAATAACAAAATATCCAAGGACAGTGTTCTCTTTGTACGTCAGTATGTCTCAGGGAGATAAACAAAAAGCCCACGAATTTGCCATTAATTATTACTGTTTGCTGCCCCTGCAGCCTGTTTGACTGATGAGCTGATTGGTACCTGTGTTTATAGTGATTTATCCTAGTTGATGAAGTGATTTTGCCATAAGTAAAGAATAGACAAGCCAAGCTTTTTTAGACCCGCTAATAAACCATGGTAATGCCTTGATCTAACCTGGATTAGAAGTATTTTAAATATGTACACTACTAAATGTAGAAGATTACTCAAGTTATCTTGTTATAAACTCAGGCTCTGGGAATGGAGAGGAATAAAATGTGAATACAAAACAGTCTTGGACAGCCAAGTGCAAAAGATTTTTTGCTGAGAAAGTTTGAAAAGGAGCAAAGAAATGGGAGAGTGAAGGTGCTGGAAGGCAAAAACATTTAAACAAATCAAAAGAGGAACCTGGGTGAGATACCAGTAAAGCAAGATGCCATCACAGATGAATGCAGCATTTTCAAACAGAAGATGGTGCTTTCTGAGAGGAAGAATATAAACTACATCTTCTGGCTTCTAAATTTAACTGTGAAGAGTAAGAAAAACTTGGGTGTCACTGGCATTTTGGCAGAGATGTCTCCTAGTGCTAAAAAGAGGAACAGTTAGGAAGGGAAAAGAATGGAACAGAGAAGCAATACTGAAAATACTTTTTACTACTCAAACTGAGCACATCCTGATCAGTTCTGGACACCTTGAGAAGGACAAAACAGACAAGAAATGAGTTTAGAAATGACAATGATAACAATCAGAGGCCATGAAAAGCTTCTACATGAATAATACTAATAAAACCTGATCACTTCAGAGAAGGAAAAAGATAATGGTCTACTAATTAATGAATGGCACCAAGGAAAGTGGGTTCTGTTCATCATTTCCCAGCTGCTGAAAATGAAAGACAAAGGATGAAGAACAATTCTTTCCCACAGGAACTGCCTGATGCTATTCCTTTCCACCAGAGACAACTGAGTCCAGTTGTCTCAGCTAAAAAAAACGAGTTAATTTTTGCAAATTAAAAAGGAATGGAAATTTTCATGGAAAAAAAATTGTCAAGTGCTAAAACAAAAGATGTGATTTGATTTTAATGGAGGCTATCTTCCAGTGTAGGCTGCAGGATCTTTGAGGGTGGGCAAGAGCAAATTTCTTCCCCTCAAAGGAAATTCTATTTTACTATCATGCTCTAGAATTACTCAGACCTTTCACTGCCAGAATGGCACTTTCCACTGTTACAGAGAGGATGCTGGAGCAGATGCAGGAATGGTTATGGAGCAACAGGTCTTATTCTACTGTGCCAGCAAAAAGGAAAATCTGGAAGACACTAAATGTGGCCACAGGGGGACAAAAAGAGACAGAGTTTGCAAGACTGCAAAAATTAAAACCAGACCCATAGCTCAGCTCAGTTCCCAAACAGACTTTGAGAGAATAATGCTCCCACTTGGAAACCAGCAGGGGAAAACAGAGAGAAGCTCTGGGCACAATGGTCTTTAGGAGTGTCTTGGTTTAGGGCAAATTTGGGAGGAAACTTCTGAATGGGGTCCCTCTAGAAAGCCAATTTAAGTGGCCCTTTTCCCCATTGCTTCGGGAGATATAAACATTTTTTGAGAGAAGTGGAAAAAACTGTTGATTTAACAAGCAAAGTACTCAGAAACATGAAAAGAAAAAAATAATATTAAATAATGGAACTTCTCAGTGTTCTGAAGAGATGGTAAATTCAGATAGAAAGTCTTTTCCATGGGGTGTAGCTGGGCTTGCTCAGCTTTTTCAGGGCTAGGGTCTTTCTTTCTAGGGCTCGGGTCCAGTGTCCTGGCTGCACTCCAGCTTGGGGGGCCCTTGGATGACAGCCCTGGTGTTCCCAGACCAAACAATAGCTGAACAGTTCCAAAAAACTTCTGGCCTCAGCTAACTAAAAACAAATAACTAAAAGCAAAGGAGAGTTCGCTCCCGCTGTCCGTGCTGCAGACAACATAGACTGAGAGAAGGAATGTGGGGGAGCAAGTGCAGCTTCTGCAAACAAACTGCACTCTTCTCGTGCCCCTCTCACTCTCAGAACCAGTCTTCAAGGTGCAGAATTTAATATCCAGCATAAACAAAACAGAACAACTGGGGATAAAAGCATCATAAAGTCACCCTAGGACAAGCAGAGATTAATAAACTGACACAAGCCACCGTGTCAAGTGAAGACTGGAGATGGTGTCTTTGCTCCAGAGGGGAACAAAGATGCCTTGTATTTTGCTAACTGGTCTCACTTTCAGCCCTGGCACTCACACAGACTAACTCATACTCAATTAATTGACAGCTTTCCTGTGGTTTTGCTATCGTTGAAGCACACTGTAAGAACAGATACATGAATATCATTTTTTTTCTTAGTGACTTGGCTAAAACTAAATGGATTTTTGTCTTTTTTTGAAGATATGAAATAGAAAAATAGGAACAATTTTGGCATAGCTGCCATATTCCACTTCTTTCAGCCCTCTGTTAAAATTTTCAGTCAGGCCCACTGTGCTGCTCTCAGGGATTACATTAACAAGCCCAGATGTTTCACCACTTTGGAGATTCCAGACAGGAGTCCCACTCTCTCTGCTGCCTGTTCAGGGACTCAGAGTAGGCCAAACATCTAACCTACAAACAAAGATTTGTGAACAGAAAGAGATGGTGTAACACACACACAAGTACTCAGTATTTCAGAAATGTACCACCCTCCTCCCTCCTTGTTTCAGCATGTTTTCAGAGATGTCTCTTCACAAGCAGCAGAAGTTCTGAAATGCAACTGCTACTCCTTCGTGTGTGTGGATGGCTGTTTCAAGCATCAGTTCTGCTCCATGTTTTTTATTGTTGTGCTATTTTAATTTCACTTTCTCACATGATCTTCTTTCTAATGCAGCATCCTCCCCACTTCCCATGGCTAATTATGGAGCTACCCTGCTAGAGGAGGTGAACATAGCTTTTACACAACTAATGGAGAGCATTTGCCAAAACTCCAGATTAAAAGATTCCCTTGACACCTCTATCCATGCATTATATGTTTATTTTTGCTTAGTGACTTGAAATTATTCCATGACATATAAAATCAGTTATTTGCAGGTAGTGTTTCCTTCCTCTAAAGAAGGGAATAAAACATTACTCGCTAGAAGTTCTTTCTTCTATAAAGGACAAGCTGCTTTTTCTGAGGGCTGTGACTTGCTCTGAGGTTTTCCCCATTTCTATACAAGAGTTCATCCTCTGCTCTCAGCCAGAGGGGAGAGCCAGGCAGAGTAGCAGAGAAGAATATCCAAGTAAAGCCTGGGAAAATGCAGACACCTCTTTCCTTCAGTCCCTTCAGAAAGAAATATGACTGAGAACACCATCAATCTCATCTCCTCTTTTATTTTCAATTTTTGTGTAGTGGGACTGTTCCAGTACACAGATAACGATCAGAAAGATGATGAGGTTCTGCCATAATCAATATAAGCTTTGAACCAATGCTTAGAATGGCTAGCATTTTAATGCAGACAGAGATATTTTGCTCTCCAGCATCAGGCCAGAATATTAACCAGTAGAAATACTTATTCACAGACCTTTCACAATCAGGTTCTCAGTCTGCATAAGACTTCTCAAGTCAGGGATAGGTATAAGGATTTCGGGGGCAGGGGGGAAGGAAAGCCAAAAGACTTTAAGCAGCTTAGAATGTATAAAATTTTTCGAACAGATGATAAACATCAATGAAACAGAAAAGACAACCTTGTCTACACAATCATCTGCCGTTCAAGCTCTTCTAAAGACAACAGCGGGATAAAGCATAAATAGAAAACCAAAAAATCTTAGTAAGTCTGATATCTTCAGCCTCTTCACAGGCATCAGGTGCTTTCATATTGCCTGGTTCTGCATCCCTCTCCCTGTAAACTGATAATGTGCTTTCCTAGGTTTACTGAAGTCCAGTTGTGACAGGCAGCTTGAGTTTAAAATTTAATCCAGTGAAGAACAAGTGATTGTGACAGAGAATGAGCATGAGTATGAAACCTGAAACAGAAAGCAGAGGAAAGATCCCTTCTGCTGCTGCTCATCCTTAGGCTCGCCCTGCAGGCACCGCACCCAAAGAGTTGGAGCTGGCCTTGGGCATACAGGTAACACGAGGCAGGGAACAGGGATGGGGGGGAAAGAGGACAACTTTCCTTCCTATTCAAAACTTAACAAGTAGCAATAATTTCAGCTGGACAACTTTGCATCTCTGTCAATTAAAGTAGCTCAGCAGTTAGGGAACTGTACACCTTGTGAACCAACACTTGAGTGAAACCCCCCTCATAAAGGGAAACCCTCTCATCAAGGGAAGTAATTTACTTTTCCAAGCCAATTCAATTTGACTTTTCTAAAATAGAAAAGTAGACCAGCTAAGCCAGAATGTAAATTTACAGAGTGATTTGGAGAAATTAAAAAATGCTTTTGACAATCAGAAGGAAAATAAGAGGGAAAATTTTGACAATCAGAAGGAAAATAAGAGGGAAAATTATAATGTACCAAGTAGAGCAGAATGTGGGCCATCCATGCTAATGCAGAATTCTTTCTCATTTGTTTTCCAGGAGTGTCTTCAAAAATATTGCAATTTAGTCTCTATACCTCAGACAGGCAGCAAGAATGACAACAATAATAATAAATCACCATATTTCAAAGTCAAGAGAAAAAACTAGGTCTTTAAGATTTTAGTCACTGTCTTAATAACTTGTACTTATTAAAATTCATAGACATTTCAGTGAGATCACAAATTCACTCAATTTTTGAAAATCAGCAGCCAGTCAAGTCCTGAGACAATGCTTTATGCTCGCAAAAAGTCTGACAGAAATTTTTAAAAAGTGCTTGCATTTTTCAGTATTAGTTGCTATCAATTCCACTTCTGAATCCAAACAAGCATGTGTGCACACATGCATGCACGGATATACAACTTACAACTTTTTCCTTATAATGGTTTCTTTCTTCCCTCCCACAAAAAAAAAAAAAAAAAAAAAGTATTAAAAAAGAGCTTGTATTGTTTCACCAATGCAGAATGTTAGTAAACTCTGAATTGGTTCATTCTTGGTAAAGTCTATGAAAACCCTGTGGCTTCTCACTTGCTCCTTTACCTCGCTGCACTTTTCAGACCTGCTGTAGCAAGCCAGCCCCCAGACAAAGTTCAGAGCCTTATCACATCCCTGGACCAGGCAAAACCATCAGCCTTTGAATGAGTGGGGCAGCCAGGGGAAATGGAGGGAACAGAGGAAAAACTGCTGTGTCACTGTGGAACGCTTGGCAACCCATTGCAGGAAATGAGACAGCAAAGTCAGCTGCAGTCAAGCCTAATCCTCACTGGCAAGGGGGAGAGAAGCAGAGACAGAGGAGGAAGAAACAGCAGGGATTTCCCCTTAGCAACAATGATATTTGAAAGCATAAAGATATAAATTATTTTGGGCTGCCTGGACACTTAGCAGGAGCTGGGGATTATGTGTGTGAAGGAGTTCAGAAGAGGCTGCAAGAGCTTTGGGAGGAATGTAAACTGAGTGTAAAATGTGTAAATCTCTGGTCTGCTGTGAGAGGGAAGCTGCAGTGGTTTATTTTAGCTGAAATAGGCTTTCTGGGACCTCTGCTTACCACACTGACCATCATTGTGGCAATGTTCAAGGCACCTGCTCTCTTCACCTCCTGCTTCTCTCCACAAAGGGTATAACACAGGCACTTTGATTGTCAACACTCGTGATTATGTTGCCTGTGAAACTCAGTGCAAAGGTACCTAAATCCTCTTTCTTGAGCTTCTCAGCTCAAAAGAAATACAAATGACAGCAAAATACCCCAATTTAAGCTATCAGAAAGGCCTCTACCATGTCTACCTGTACTTTCTGGGCGTTCAAGGCACATTGGATTAAATGTGTGTGTTTGTTTGATTGTTTGGGACAGCCCAGTTCCAAAGTCTGTCGGCAAGCAGAACTGACAGGCTCGAACAGAGGAACCTAGAGCAGGGACCCTAAAACATCGACATATCACCTACTACACTGCAAAGACGTCCATCAGACACCACCAGCAGGAACTCTGACCAAATTTTTTAAATAACTCTCTACTGATAGGGATTGCATCAGGTCTCCAGATACAGCTAAATCATGCCAGTGATTTTTTCCTGTCCTTGAAACGCTAACATACGTAGTGAAAGTGTTTTCCCTTTTTGTTGGTTTTTGTTAAAGCATTGTTAAAAATCAGATTGCCCCATATGTTTTATATTTTCAGTTCATTTGCTGGGATGAGGAATATCTTTGGGCAAAATCTTTGTTTCCTTAAACATAACTCAGCTGTGCTGCCCATACAGATGAACAGTTTTCAGAAGTAAGGTACAGATAAGGTACATTTCCAGCAGTAAGGACAGACCACTATGGATTCTATGGAATCTGTGGATTCTTTGCCATGTAGATGATGTCTTGCCTTCTGTAATTTTTCAGTTTCAGTATTCTTTGTCCTCAGTTTATGCACCATTTCCTCATTTCTCCAGCTTTCCTTGAACAATCTCAAAATTAGGTTAAGCAGCAGCTAAACTGGAAGACTGCTCTGACCACCCCTTCACACCTTGCTGCAAATAATCTTCTCTGTTGAAAATTCTCTCCCCATTGTGGGGGCAGCTTCCCTCTAGCAGCAGTTCATGAAATGGGATTTTGTGAAATCCTTTGAGTATCCTTGAAATCCTCAGAGTATCCTTTGCTCTTCTTCACAAAATCCTAGCTGGGTCATGCCACTGTGCATCAAAAAAGAAAAGAGCAGGGTCAAAAGAGCACCTGCCTCACAGTGCCCTTCTCCCTGAGAGAGGAGACAGCCCTGTGCACGGAGGGTGCTGGTCAGACAGAGTGAAGGATGCAGGTGCTGCCGGACAGATCAGGCAGGCCTGCCAAAGGCTTCCGCCACGTCCTGCTGCCTCCCTTTATGTTAACTCTGGCTGCCTCAGAGGGCATGGGGAAAGCAAACCCCAGAGAGGAGGCAGCAATAACAAGGCTGTCCAAAAGGCCACCTTGGAGGAATGGGGCAGTCTCCACATCGGGCCCCTGCCCACTACCCTCTGCCCCCCACATCCTTCCCAGACCAGCCAAAGGATCCCGTTTTACACATCTTGCTTGCCCATGAGCAGCCTTTCCGATGTCCACAGCCCCTCTGGCCTCAGAAAGGTCTCCTCAAAATGACTGATGTCTCACTGTTGTCACATGCTCGGTCTGCTCCCGTGTGCCTGGAGCTGCACTTCCATAACTTTCAGACACTACAGACTGAGCAGTCTGAAACTGAATAGCAATATGCCATCTCAGCATGTAAAAAAACACCTGAATTCAGATTTGGACTGGATGGGGATCATCGGTCTGCAGGGTTTGGGTGAGGCAAGGGATAGCAACTGGACCAGGAAAAGGTAAAGATCAGGAGGACAAAACAGAGAACACAGGTTTGGACGTCATCAAGACAATGAGGAAAATAACACTTGCAGGAGTAGAACTGGAAAACTGGGACTGGCTGAGTAGTGAAAACATGAAAGGGCAAAGCAGGGGCTGGAGTTCTGCAAGGCAGCAGCAAGAGTGATGCATAAATAAAACATGGTACAAGAAGCACAGAAGGCTGGGGAGAAGCAGCGATGCAGAGAAACGGTGGGCATGTGGCATCAGGAGTGAGCAAGAGGTGCAAAGCAGCATGCAAAGTAAATGTAGAAAGATTAAGGAAAAACCTTTGAGAGCCGAGAGGCATTGAGGGTCTCCTTTTTTTAATTTTCTGTCTAGAAACGCCTATGAAAGTTTCTGACAAAGCATCCCAAAGATCTCCCAAAACCCCCCAGGCAACCCATAAAGGGCAGCTGGCAGCTGCTGTCTACCATCTTCCTCATTGCATACCTACCACAGGGAAATTGTCCTGCAGGGAAATTGACATTTTTGTCCTGGCTTTTAGCATGTCCACACAAATCAATAGTATGATAAATCCACATGTTTTCTTTGCTTTTTAGAAACCCAGGCTTACAACTGAGTTTCCATCTGCTGCAGCACATAGCATCACGTATGCATCCCTGCACAGAGACTGTGCATTAGGAGACATAATCTGCCAAGGACTCTGCTCCACTGTCCGAGTCCACTTCACTTTAGAAAATATTTCAAATGGAATATTTGGCCAGTGCAACACAAATGTGTTCTTGTTAAATCCAAGCACATGGAAGGAAAATATTTTTATTTTATTCTTCTGGAGGAAAAAAAAATCATTACGCTTCCAGAGCGACACAATCACACTTCCCAGCCGAAAACAAAACTCATCAATGGACAATTTAATTTAAATGGCACTTTCCTTCTATAAATGAATAAACTTTCTTCATTTTTTACCTCAAACTTTCTGTTGTTAATCTGTAAAGCACAGTAATGCTACCCCCTCAACATTTTGAGATGTTATGAAAATAAAGCCATGGGAAGCACTCAGTTGCTATAGTAATTAGCATCATAGGAAAAGGCCAATAAGGAAACAAAGGACTTTGTCTCCAGAACAAGCTTTAAATCATGCATGAACTGTGTGGTAACCATAAAATCCACATGAGGAGAAAAGAAAACATACTGAGGCAAAAAGCCTGCAAGAATAAATGCAACATGTGTTGATATAATTAAAGGCTCTATGGCTCACACATATACCTCCTTTATGACATTTCCTGAGAGATTTTTAAGTGACTTGGCAACCAGAAGAATGTTTTTATTAGTTAATGGTTTGTGTGTCAAACTCTATTTGATTTGCTTTATTTGAGTAATTTAGTCTTTTGCCTGGATACTAGAGGAAATTATGAAATTTTAAGTTCTTTGTCCATTAGACTGGGTACCTCATAAATATATCTAAACCATACTATATACATATATTTTAAAAACACTTAGGATAAAACCTTTCCATTTCTGTTCCAACCTTTGTTCACAATCTATTTCTTTTGCTCTGAAGGGCTTTCTTTTTTCCACCTTTTTGTTCCACTCTATCTTCAATAAAAAAGAAATGCTTCCTAATCACAAGACGTGACAAGTCTTGCTATGTTTTCCAATAGCCGTATGCTTGGGTACTTAAGAGCATTTGGCCTTGTGCTTTGCATCTAACCAACAACGCACCCAGGTGAGCTGCTATTGGGCAGGGACTTAATCCCTGTCATCTTTAATCACTACATTAAAAGATTTAAAGACTAATGTTAAAGGCCATTCAGTTTGGGCACCACAGACCTACAGGATGCAGTTGGGAAAAGCCACTTGGTTTTTCCCGGCAAAACCTGTTATAGATCTTTGAGGACAAAAGCCAGGAGAGCTGAGAAGGAAACTCTTTTTCTGTGACACTCCCTCAGTGTGTCTCAGACATCCACCTAGACACCCTGGGACTTCCTGCAAGTTTCACACATGAGGTGTTACTTGCATGAGGTGCTACATTTATTTAAATAGCTGCACTGAAAGGTTAGCTTTGGCCCACTTCTGTTCTGCATAACGTCAATAAGAAAGTTATTAGGTCAGTACTGAAAAATTCCATCCCTAGTCAGAGCATAACTCTGCAGAGAGGATGACTCATCTGTTACCCAGTGCAGAAAATGTGAGGGGGCCATTTAGCACTCCCTCAGGAATCTGACCCCCAAATGTAAAATTTCCTGCTTGGATCCCACATCGTTGCAATACGATTGCTAGCAGCAGTAGTCAGGGATGTTTCTTCCTGTCCAGATATTAGAAGCCCATCTTGGAGGTTTGGACTTTGCTACAATTCCCCAAGCGCTGTTACTCTGTGCTTAACTCAGATCTCAGGCAGCTGCACACCCAGGTTTGTCCCCTGGGACCACACGACTCCAATGCTGCATAAACTTCCAAAACCAGTACAAGGCAATCTGATCCAAATCCAGTACAAGGCATTTTCAGCCTAGTAATTCTTCATCTTGAGGACTCTGATGCTTACGGATCAACAAAGGCTGTCCAAAGCCTCTCACATTATTTTCCCAAGTGGGTAAAAAATAGTATTGTGATAGTAGTTCATACAGTACTTTTATAATTGCCTTATCTACAGATAAAATTTAGTTCTTCACAGACAGCCCTACAGCAATCACCACTATTTTCAGCT